GATTGAAAAGATTAGAGAGATTATGTAGACTAGATTGACTGGATGGAATAGATAGATTTGATCGAGTAGATAGATGAGATCGATTTGATGGAGTAGATAGGTTAGATGAGGTAGATTAGATCGACTAGGCGGGTTTGATGGATATAGAGTAGAACAAAATAGAGCAGCATAGAACAGACTAGAATAGAATACGGTTGGATGCATAAGAATGAAATAGGCATAGAAAAAGAGGTAGAAATAGAATCATTTGAAGAATGGAGAAGAAAGATGTCTAGATCGATAAATCAGCTAGACTAGCCAGATTAGCTAGATTAGGTACGCTAGATAGATTAGGTCGATTATATAGAGTATAGGGTGGCTGGATAGGTTAGATAGATTAGGTGGAGTAGGTGGGTTAGAAAGATTAGATCGATTAGGCAGGTTAGCTACATGAGGTAGGATTGGTAGTTAGATTGATCAACAGATTAGGACGATTAATCAGATTAGGTAGGTGGAAAGCAAGATAGGTAGATAGATTGGTAGACCTGATTGATCGATTGATTGTCAAGTTGGGTTTAGAAAGATCAGCCTAGAAAGATGGACAGATCGATCGATCTATGGATCAATCGATGGATAGATAGATAGCTAGATAGACAGATGGATGGATGGATGGATTATAGATAGATTAGATAGGTTAGATAGATTAGATGGATTAGGTAAAGTAGATCGGTTTGGTAGATTAGATAGATTAGATAGATTGGGTAGAGTAGATTGACTAGATGGATGAGGTAGAATAGGTAGATTAGACAAAGTAGATGGGTTAGATCTATGGATAGACTAGATTGATGTAAAAGGATGGAGAGGTTAGATAGATTAGATAGATTAGATTCAGGGTTTTACTGATTAGATCGATTAGAGCCTAGCGTAAATGGAATAGGCTGTAGGCAAATTAGATTAGATTTGGTCAGATTAGATTAGATTGGTTTAGACTAGTTCAGATTAGATTAGAGTGAAGTAGAGTAGAGTAGATTAGATGGTTAGCAAGATAAATAGATTGGAACGAATAGAGCGAATAGAAAGAATGGACAACTAGATAGATAAATCACAGACTTGCTGATACACTACTCAAGTATGTGCACGCAGACTTGCTGCTACGCTACTGGCTCGTCTGTTGCATGTGCATCTGCTACGCTACTTGCTCTTCTTTTGCTGCGCAGGCTTGCTGCTTTGCTACTGGCCTGCGCGTATAATTAGCACTGATGTGTATGGCTAAATTCCCCGAAATGTACGAAAAGACAAGCTGCTTGGTATGCAAGCGGATGGCAAGATGGATAAGATAGATACGATAGATACGATAGATACGATTGATAAGATAGATAAGATAGATTAGATAGGTGGATCGATAGATAGGTAGAAAGATAGAAAGATAGATAGATAGAGGGGACAGATAAGATAGATAAGACAGACAAGATAGATAATAAGATAGAAAAGATAGTTAAGATATATAAGATAGATAAGATAGATAAGATAGGTAAGATAGGTAAGAAAGGTAAGATAGGTAAGATAGGTAAGATAGGTAAGATCGATAAGATCGATGAGATAGACAAGATAGATAGATAAATAGAATAGAATAGAATAGATTAGAATAGAATAGAATAGAAGAGAAGAGAATAGAATAGAATAGAATAGATTAGATTAAATGAGATCAGATTAGATAGATGGATAGATGGATAGATGGATAAATGGATAGATGGATAGATGGATAGATGGATAGATGGATAGATGGATAGATAGATAGATAGATGGATAGATGGATTGATAGATAGATAGATAGATAGATAGATTGATAGATTGACGGATAACTAGGTAGAAGATAGATGTTTGGATCGATGGACGGATAGATAGATAGATGCGTAGACAGATAGGTAGATAGGGAGAATGGTAGATAGGTAGATAGGTAGATAGATAGATGGATAGATAGATAGATAGGTGGATAGACGGATAGATGGATAGGTGGATAGATGGATAGGTGGATAAGTGGGTAGATGGATAGGTGGAAGGATGGATGGATGGATGGATGGATAGATAGATAGACAGTTAGATAGATAGGTAGATAAGTGGGTAGGCGGATAGACGGATAGATGGATAGGTGGATAGATAGGTGCGATAGATTAGATAGAGAAGATAGATTGAAAAGATTAGAAAGATTATGTAGACTAGATTGACTGGATGGAATAGATAGATTTGATCGGGTAGATAGATGAGATCGATTTGATAGAGTAGATAGGTTAGATGAGGTAGATTAGATCGACTAGGCGGGTTTGATGGATATAGAGTAGAACAAAATAGAGCAGCATAGAACAGACTAGAATAGAATACGGTTGGATGCATAAGAATGAAATAGGCATAGAAAAAGAGGTAGAAATAGAATCATTTGAAGAATGGAGAAGAAAGATGTCTAGATCGATAAATCAGCTAGACTAGCCAGATTAGCTAGATTAGGTACGCTAGATAGATTAGGTCGATTATATAGAGTATAGGGTGGCTGGATAGATTAGATCGATTAGGTGTAGGTGGGTTAGAAAGATTAGATCGATTAGGCAGGTTAGCTACATGAGGTAGGATTGGTAGTTAGATTGATCAACAGATTAGGACGATTAATCAGATTAGGTAGGTGGAAAGCAAGATAGGTAGATAGATTGGTAGGCCTGATTGATCGATTGATTGTCAAGTTGGGTTTAGAAAGATCAGCCTAGAAAGATGGACAGATCGATCGATCTATGGATCAATCGATGGATAGATAGATAGCTAGATAGACAGATGGATGGATGGATTGATTCTAGATAGATTAGATAGGTTAGATAGATTAGATGGATTAGGTAAAGTAGATCGGTTTGGTAGATTAGATAGATTAGATAGATTGGGTAGCGTAGATTGGCTAGATGGATGAGGTAGAGTAGGTAGATTAGACAAAGTAGATGGGTTAGATCTATTGGATAGACTAGATTGATGTAAAAGGATGGAGAGGTTAGATAGATTAGATAGATTAGATAGATTAGATTCAGGGTTTTACTGATTAGATCGATTAGAGCCTAGCGTAAGTGGAATAGGCCGTAGGCAAATTAGATTAGATTTGGTTAGATTAGATTAGATTGGTTTAGACTAGTTCAGATTAGATTAGAGTGAAGTAGAGTAGAGTAGATTAGATGGTTAGCAAGATAAATAGATTGGAACGAATAGAGCGAATAGAAAGAATGGACAACTAGATAGATAAATCACAGACTTGCTGATACACTACTTAAGTATGTGCACGCAGACTTGCTGCTACGCTACTGGCTCGTCTGTTGCATGTGCATCTGCTACGCTACTTGCTCTTCTTTTGCTGCGCAGGCTTGCTGCTACGACCCGGCCCACACCCGGCCACCCGGCCACCCGGCCACCCGGCCACCCGGCCACCCGGCCACCCGGCCACCCGGCCACCCGGCCACCCGGCCACCCGGCCACCCGGCCACCGACGACACACCCGGCCACCGGCCATGGCCAGCCGGCTACAACCACCCAGCCGGCCACGGCCACGGCCACGGCCACGGCCACGGCCACGCACGGAAAAAAGCAATCCTCCATGCTGTCCATAAATCCCTAGACGTTAAGTTGGTTAAACCACTAACGAAAATATGCTTGGTGGTTTGGACCCCTCTGAAAAATATTTGTCAGTTGGGTGATTATTCCCAATATATGGAAAAATAAAATTCATGTTCCAAACCACCAACCAGAAAAATACTGACAAATTTTCCGCTAGGAGGTAGCACAAAACTGAGCTGTGGGTTCTGCTTTTCCGCGGCATCGTCTGTGCAGTGAATCATGTGACAACTGGGGATCCAACATCGACGAATTTGTTGGGAGCACCTGAAGTCGCTGTCATCAGCACAAAATGCAACTGGGTCATGGTCAATGGATGTCAGCAAAGCAGCACATTATCGGCATGCTTTGATCGGAATCCCAGGACATTCATGGACATTCGTGGCACAAAGATTGACCGCTGGAATCAGCTCAAAAAGAAGCGTTGGGACCTCCAAAACACAGCGCCATGTTGCATAGAATACGCACTAAACTTACTAAACTGCTAAACACTGAAAGCAAACAAACGATGAAGGCCAAGTGGCGTGCGCTGCCACCTTGGAAATGAGCACTGTGAAACTCCGCGAAACCTCGCCAGTGGTGCTCGATTTTCGTCAACGCTCAAAAAAAGGGCCGGTGGCCAATGGTTAATGATTTCAAAGATCTTCACATAGAAATCCTACTCTGTGGAAAGGCAAGTTCTGTGATTTCCTGGGGATATCCTCCTGAAATGCAATCTGCAAAGATTCCATGCTGAATTCATCCTCCAATTCTCCAGTTTCAAAGGGTTGAAAACAGGTGCAATCTATGGAAATCCTGCAGCTGCATTTCAAAGAAGTTAAGCAGGCAATGTTGCCAATTAGACAAAAAAATATCAAAAAAACAGTTCCCTGCAATACAATGGTTTTGCTGCAACTTCAAACGACATACACTTTGATATGCTTTGAGCGGCCCACAGGAACAATTGAGTTCCTGATGGAACATTGGGTGCCCAAGTTGAGACTGTCTTATCGTGTCTCACGCAAAGAAATCAGGGCTTCTTTTTGAAGCTCTAAGGCTCTATTGGATTCTATTGGATTCTATTGGTCTAAGCACAGTCACCTTTGCCTTCACACAACTCGTTGTTGACAGTGCTGCAGTCTCTAGCTGTAGATGTTGCACCCCATTTGGAGCATGTCCCCTTCACCCAGCAGTGTTGCGGCGAGTCCACCGTCTTGGCTGTCCAAGTAGCACAGCATGACTTCTCTTGGGGTTCAGAATGAATGTGCTCATGCACATCAGCCTTCACCGCATTCTTGTGGTGATCTTCCATCCTCCGTGTCGTTGTAACGAAACAGAAATCTTAAAGGAAAAAATGAAAATACCTCACCATGTCTCACCCATGTCTCGCTCGCGTCTTTCACCAATCAAAAAAACAGAAGTGATGGCCGAACTGCCACGGCAACGCACATCAAGCCGGCTAAGGCAAAGCGAAGTTGCATGGCGTGGTATGCACCAAGTTTACAAGCGAACTATGACGAACTTCGCCCAGAATTGACGAGGAAGCCAACGAATACATGAACCATCGGACCGGATCCAATGTCTCGGCTATCTCTATTATTGACACCCTCACAGTGGGTCACCAGAGATTTCCAGAGATGTGTTGTCAAAATATCTCAAAATCCTCGAAATTAAATGCTATACGGTGCCACTTGGATGAATGGTTCAAATGTTTCAACATGGTTGATGAAAATGAAACAAGATTCGGTGAGATTCGTCTATACTTCATCCAGTTGTGGAGCAACATACTCTTGACTTTCTGTGTCAAAATCATTGGGTCGTATTGAATCCCAATATACAATTGGTTGGTCTTTGGCTAAAAAATGATCAAAACTCTATGTAGGCATTGAAGGTATCCTCATTTCGATGGGCAGCCATCTTCTTCCCCGGCAGCTCCTTGTCAAAGCTCTTGGAGCCACATCAAAGGCACCTGCGACTGCAAATCACGTGACATCTGGGAGGAAAGGGAATGGCCGGAATGGCAGTCAGGAAATGGTGAGAATGGCAACACTGAATTTCAAGACTCGTTTCGCAGGTTCAGAGATGTCAAAACTGCGAACACGAACTACTTGGGGAATTTCAAAGTCTGAAGTTATGTAGTGTAAATCGTTGCGTAGCGTGCACAAAAACGGTAGTAAAAACAACTTGAATGGCCTTACTCCAGCACCTAACCATGACTGCATCTCCTGCGTGCGAAACTCTGCAATAATTGTCTAGCCTCCAGTGCTACTGAGACCAAGATCTCCTTGAATTCACAAATGGTATTGCAAATGAGTCACTGTTTGAAAAAAAAATAAGCAGACCGACCCAAATGAAAATTGGGCCTTTTCTCAACTTTCATGATCGCATCCTCCTTTTTGCAAGTCCCAAACCGCAGTGCGTCGCATGGCATGTTCTTCTCACTGCAGGACTAAGCCCAGCCATGCTCAACAAAAAACACGTGCGTTTATTTCTGGCAGTTGGAAACGGTTGGAAACTGCAAGCCTTTATTCAAGAATTCTTCAAGACTTGCCGATCGAAACGGCCACAAGCTGCATGCCACTTGCTGGTTGTCTGGTTGGGCCATGCCGAGCTGAGCAATGCGGAGGTGGTATCGCTGTACGAAGCTAGAGCCGACAATGGGATCATTGGGGCCGTTGCACAGAGATGCATAGAGCCTAATTTTTGCTAACCCTTACAGCCAAGTTCGCATGCATCATATGGTTTTGACATACAAGTCTAAATGGCAAGCATCAGGTCCATCTTTCTCCATGCGCTTCAGGTTGCTTGGGTTTGGCTTGCATGCGGCGGAAAAATGCAGAAAAGAGGTTGCGCATCGCAATAAGGTAAAAATGCGATTCGCAAATTTGCGAATTGCGCAGACTATACCATTCATCACATTTTAAACATGTGTCATGTGCACGATTTGGCATCATTCAAAAATGCCGAAGTTGACTGCCATTGCAGTTCAGTGAAATCAAGAAGGCAGAAGTGGAGCCTGGACACCGCACTAATGAGAGGAATGCAACTTCACGGATCACAAATTGTGTCCTTCCAGTTGCATGTTTTCTCCATGTCTCACAAATGAAAAACGGGTGCCTTCATTGCCTTCTTCTCATCGTGAACTTCCCATCCTCATTTTCAGAGCCAAAGATAGCCATAGAATTTTTCCTGGATTCTTTGTGATCAAGTTCAAGATTTTTTCGAGGCTGCCACGGACTGCCAGAATGGAGTCGATGATCAGCTGTGAGGCATGCGCCATGATGCACGGCACAATCATGAGCCTCACAGGCACAGCACGGATTGCTGGAAATGCTGCGACTGACAAAAGTCCTCGGGACGGCACCCGGAGTTTCGTCGCAAATCCGCTGGCAAAGCAGACATCACAGAGACCTTGGACACACATATAATATGTATATAATATGAATGTAATATATATATGTATATATATATTATTATTATTATTATTAATTATTATTATTATTATTGTTATTATTATTATTGTTATTATTATTATTGTTATTATTATTATTGTTATTATTGTTATTAATATTGTTATTATTATTATTGTTACTATTATTGTTATTATTATTATTGTTATTATTATTATTGTTACTATTATTGTTATTATTATTATTGTTATTATTATTGTTATTATTGTGATTATGTCATTCCAACTGTGAAATAATTATATTATACCTTTCAAAGGATCGATTCAGTCATCGCGAAGTCACGCAAAGTGGAGAAATTTCATGAAAGATCTGCCTCTGATTAGTCAAAATAAAAAAAAAGAAGCTTTTTGTGCGCTTTTCATGCTTTTCAGAGCTGAAACCGCGAACCAGAGCAACTTTTGTGGCATCACAGTTTTAAGGGCTTAGGAGACCCTTCCCTTTGAACTTCTGACAGTGACAGAGCTGAGATCCTGAGATCGTAACGCACACCGGCAGAGACTTCTGGCTAGACATCAAAACGACGGTGACCTGCACAGGGTTCACCGGATTTCACCGGTTTTTTTCGACAAAAAATCGCCAAATTTGGGGCTTTTTTTTTGAGCTGAGAAAAGCGCCCACTCGCGAGGTTCCAAGACAGCAGCGGTGGCAGAAACATATCCTGCAGGATGATCAGGATGATGGTGATGAATCGCCAAGCAGAGCAACCATCTGCAGTTCAGAAAGTTCAGAATGCCAGTCTGGCCTACTACTCGGTACACAAGATGAATGGCTGCCGCAATAGCCAGGGCCATCCACAGATCGGCAGACTGAGTGCAAAAACATGTCTTCCGGGCAAAATCTGCAAAGATTGTGCTGGAAATTCACATCTGAAGTGTCGAAAGCTTCAGCTTGAGACTGGGAATCCAACATCTGTCGACATGATTTTTGGTTGAGCACTTGAAGTCATCAGCAGCACCACCAGCAAGATGCAACTGGGCCAGGAAAGTGGATGATCATAAACCAGCAAATTGCTATCGACACCTGGCCCGGCCGGGCCAAAACCACCAGGCCATACCAATCATAGCAGGCCTGTTTTGGCACAATCCCAAGACCTTCTTGTTGGTCTTGGCAAAGGATTTGGCCGCTGGAATCACCTGATACACCCCAGAATGCGCAGAGTCATCCATTTGTTGATGGTTCAAAATGCTTCAAACCTATGCCGCCCTAATTCTTTGGAGAATGAACATTAACATCCATTCACCATGGACTCATGGGCCAATTAATGATCATTGATGATCATTAATGAACATCATGAATGAACATTAACCATCATTGATGATCATTAATGAACATTAACAGCCACTAATGGCCACTAATGGCCACCATTTTAATGAACATGAATGGAAATTCACCAGCTGAAATCATCCATTGGAAATTCACACCTCACGGAGCAGCATCCCAACGATCAAGGGCACCAAGGTCAGCCTGGCCAACGGCCGAAAAACCGAACCTCCACGATGATTTCATGGCATCCCATGGTAGCAACGCTGGTAGCAACGGAGGTTTTTTTATACCCTCTGGTTATGACTAACTGTTAGTCATGGAAAATGATAAAATGGCCTATTTATAGATGGCTTACCTATTAAAAATGTGTTTACCCATTAAAAATGGTGATTTTCCATGGCTATGTTAAATAGCCAGATGGTAGTTATATAGCTGCTCAATACTGGAAGCAATGGGAAAAAAAAAACAGACATCCTATGATCTCCTGCTATCTGAGGCAACAGAATGATCATGGAATGGAATCAGCACATCCGTGGCGATGAAATATGTTTGACTCAACGCAGCCAGTGGTGCCAAATGAGTTCGAAGAGCATCTCTGAAGGCTTAATGGGCACAGTGGTTTCAAAGATCTTCGACACTGACCATGGCATAGTGCCTACACCTCAGCAGTGACAGTTATTGACTGTTTCTAGTACTAAAATGCAATGGAAATCAATGGATTTGATGTGTTAAGATCTCATGCCTGCGGTTCATGAAATCCTCCATTTTCAAGACAAACCTGCGAAATTCCTGCAGAGTTTCCAAGAAGGTTGGTGACGGTTGTGAGGAGGACCGCCAGAGAGACGTTGCCCTGCAAAGTGGACCACCATTTTTGACCAACTCTCAAATGGATGATTCCAAAAAAATGATCATCAATCCAATGATAATCCATATATTGAGGTTATCAAAGAAATGGAAAATCCCATTAAAATGGATAATTGGGGGCACCCCCATTTTAGGAAACCTCCAAAAAAATGATCATCAAACTCCCAGTGACTTCCACACATCAAAGTTGTCCCAGTTGCCCCAGTTGTCCCAGTTGCCCCAGTTGCCTTGGCTTGTGTCACCATAGTCACTCCAGATGACAAAGTGGTTGGGACCACGCAGAAGACGGCAAGGCCCTGAAAGTGACCCATGCATCAATGATTGATGATGGCAATGAACAAACACATCATTCAACACAGCAGCTGCTATAGTGAAAGCATCAGTCAATACACCAAAAACAGCGGATCAGGTGCCTGCAACAGGCTCTCCTCCACATAACCATGCCTTGCTTCATGTCCGACCAGTTGCGTGTGCAAAAAGATGCAAAAAGAGACACACTCTGAAAGTGTGGTGGACAGAGCCATTGCTGAACTTCAGCCTGCATCATGCCATCGGCTCCGAAATTTGCTGTTTTTTCCATGATATCTGATGATCCTTCAGGGCCCTTGTTCAAAAGGATGAAAAATGGGAAACCATGAGAAACCAGTGGTGTTTAAATTATTTGAGCGGCTGGAGGCACCCTTGTTCTGAGGGCTGTAGCATGCTGTAGCTAGTTAGCAGCTCCAAGCTGCCCGAAGTGCAAAATTGGCCACGCCAGAAGAGGCGTCACTCCGAGGACCAACACAATGGACAACGTCAAGGCCTTTCACATGCTGAAACACATTGGGATAGAAAATGCCGGCAGATTACTCACAACAAAACAATCAAGAAACCAATGTTGCCAATGGGGAATCAACTGCCTTGTCAAATAAAAGGACCGTGTCATTGGATTCAAGCGATTCAAGTTAAGCAAAACCATCAATGCACCGCCTTGTACTGCAAGCATTCGGAAATTGAGTCCAAGCAAAGGCCACTGACAATGAAGATGACAATGACTGCCACCTGAAAAAGTGCTATGTTTTGCACTGCTGCCAATGAGAATATGATATGCCAACGGTTCCACAACTCGTTAATGGCACTAGCCTTGGGAGCAGCAACAACAAACCACAACAAAGTGTTCACTTGTTCGTAAACTCCTACACAAGGGCACACTTTGGGAAGCATAATATTCACATGCGAGTCTGACCTTGAAACTGTTCAAAATGTTGAAACATGACATAAAACATATTGAAACATAACATATACTATATATATAGTTATATATATATATTGTCATATATGAGACGTATCTCAAAGCTCCCACTCTTCCATGGAAAAGCCGCCTGCGGCAAGCGAAAGGTTCCGATTTGAATGCCATCCAGAGATTCACCTGCCAAAGCTCATCAAATTTTCACCACCTCCAGTGGAGTATACGTAGTTGCAGAACCCACGAATCAATCTGTACCAGCACCATAGGGGCAATGGATGTTACATCTTTCATCATTTGTCGGATTCTGTCAAATTATGGGATCAATGGCTGAATTATAAATGTGACATTTAAAAATTAAAATGTCTATAGAATCCTATAGAATCATTATACCATCAATCTCAAATGATGGAAAATGGAAAACCATGGGAAACCTACGACCATCGATCCGATGAATGGCAACTTGGATGGATGGGGTGGCCGGATGGCGCCAGGCCTGGAGATGGACATACCAAACCGAAAGTGATGACCTGGTCGACCATGGCAGTCATGGTTGATGGTTGGAAATTCCATGGGAAAAATGCGGTAACATGCTGTTTTTTTCATGTCCATGGTAAAGACTGCATCATCTTGCCGTGGCACGATGTGTCAAGCGGTGAAATCAAGTTTTGCCGGGAGATTGCATAAGATTTCTGAAGGACGTCGGAAACTGGCAATCTGCACAATCACAAAACCACTTGAGCCCACTTCAAAAGAAGTCCATCAACTGAAAATGAAGCAAAGTATGGGTTTCTCTAATGTTGGATACCCTCAGATACCATTTTCAGATACCATTTTCAAAATGATGGGTATGGTATGCCCCACTGCCCTACTGATACCCCCAACTGTTGCCAGACATGTGATGCAGCCAAGTCACGGCCAAGAGGCCGATAATCAGAAAATTCCTGAGCTTTTGAAGCCGCTGAATTCGAAAGATGGAAGGTTGTCAAGAACATACAGCCGCTCATCCTCGTCGTTGAAATTATGGATTGAAGATGATTGAAGTGCCGTTCTACATGAAGCTGATAGCACTGGTAGAGGTGGCCATGCTTCAAAACAGTTGTCTGAACATCTCTGAATTTCTGCTGAGGCACTTGATCAAGAAATCTTTCGCCGCCATGGTTCACGTTTTGAGCTAAGCAGCTGAATCGCATTCTGGGATTTGGATGACATCAAGAACTGACCCTTTTACCTTTCTGAAGGCCTTTGCATCACAAAGTCTAATAGTTTTGGAGAGTGATGATGCAATAAATGCAATGCTTCAATATGTTTCAGTGTCACTGGAAGCTCTCAGGACATGTCCAAGAAGAAAAGGATGCTATCATTGTGCAAGTTTCATGAGAGGTGCGTATGCCGAAAAATCCCATCAAATATCCTGTGGATCTCATCCTTTCCAAATATATCATTCCCAGATGCCAACATTTATGGGCCCTGTCTTGAATTTCTACTAATCTTAGGTATCTGATGTGTCTGAATGTTTTCTCAGCAAAATTCAAAGATTTGGAAGGATTGGAGTCAGTGTTCCGAATTTCACGAGGTATCATTCAGGTCGCCATCAGCAAAGCTGTTTCTACTCCGATCGATACTGTCAGCATCTGTCCCATCTCCATGACGTTCTCGGTTCTGCATCCATTTCCTCAGTGGTACTAGTGGGGGAGCAAGATGCCCATATGAAGCACAAGTTGATGTGCTAAGTTCAACCACGGGTTGAAGTTGCTTCGCCAAGCATGGTTTACCATAGTGTTTGCCATTTGAACTCCGAAAAAAAACCATGGTCAAGTCTTCTTTAACCTGCTAAAATGGTTTTATTATGCCTATTTCTATGCACATCATTTTGGGATGCTGTTTGCGTTTCGCCTCCAAGTCATTTGCCCAATAATAAAGCAGGGATGGTTTTCTGTCTTTCCCCCATGGGTGACCTAACGCAGCAGGATTGTAGCTCCGTGGCTTCCCATTTTTGTCGGGGAATAACGACCATAGCTGCATTCACAGCTCTGCCGCAGCATTTGCTGCGACCAAAACATGCGGGTGGTTTACATGGTTTCACAAAATAGAGACACTGTGAATTGTTTACAAAACAAAAAAGATCATCCAAGCACCTTCTGCAATCCAAGCGACGGCATGCTGCCAAAGCCTATGGCTTGTGGCAACCCAAATCCTTCCAGAAGTGCGGCGGTTCCCTCGAATCACTGAAGTTGGCTGGAAAATTGGCGTCTGCCAGCACACCAACGTCCTGATTGAGGGAGCGGGTGACCCAACGATCAAAAAAGACCAATGGGTATGGGACAACAAAGCGGGGTACCAATGGATCGACCGACTCACTTTGGGTTTAGAAATTTCACGTCCCAAATCGGTTTCAACAGTAGCGCCCCAGACCCTTCATGAAAAATCCTCTAATGATGTTAGGTGAAAGAAAACATGTTTTCCTATTATCCAAACGGTGATCCATCTATCTAACCCTCTACCACCATTAGTCATTTGTTTTTCGGTCAACTGTTGCCCCATCTGAGAACCACTGAAGCCATCTGAAACACGTTTCGGCAGCTCATCCTGCCCCATTGCTGCCAAGTTGCATTGATATGGGTCCCCTTTGCCCTTGCTGGACATAGATCTGTTGAGAAGCAGTCGAAGCCATAAACCATGTCCTGGGCCGCGAGATCAGCTAAGAAAACGGGCAAAGGAGCGTTTTGGCGGATCACACTGACGCCAGTGTCCAGGTGGTTTTTGAAGGCTTATATGGACTATTGTAAGACAATTTTGAGCAATTTCAAAAAATGATTTTTGCATTGCAAGTATCCCAAACATGAAGGAAACACATATGAATCTCTAAAACATCATAAAACATCATGATTACTTGTCCCCAAATTTTGTGTGACCCAAACTGCTTATTTTTGTTTTTCAGGTGAAAATGGTGATCTTTACCAACAACATCCACCCAGTCCCGCCTCCACTCACGAGCGCCGCTGCAGATCGATTCGCCTCGGCTGACCTCTTCAAAGGTGAGCCAGGCCCTCGGCACCATTCGGCACCCAGGGATAGCCAGGTTCTCACTGATCTGCAGATCCTGGAGCCCGGTCAAATCAAAACTGTGGTTCAGCGTCGCATAGTGTCACTATAGTTCTCTCTCTCTCTCTCTCTATCTCTGTTTCTTCACGCCTAAGACAACCAACAAATCAGCGGAACTGCCCGGCCTGCTGACATGTCGCGTCCGGGATCTCTCAATTTGGCCTGCCACAGCCCGATGAGGAGGTCCTCTGCAAGCTCGTTCTCAGCAAAGTCTTTCGCTTGAGTCGGTTTGCTCTTTCGTTCCTTGCACTTTGGTTCTGTTGGTTCCAACGGCATCTGCCTCTCTGTGAACCCCTGAGCTGTTTCACGTAGGAACTGCTCCTTGGCAATCTTCTCACGCTGCAAATCTTTTCTTTGGGCTGCAGCTGCGCGGTTGGCACGTTGGCGCTCACGCCTTTTCTGTGCTTTGCTCAGCTCTGCCTCCTCCACCTCCACGATGGCGCCTTCAACTTCTTCAGCAGGGTGTGAAGGCTGACTAGGGGCCGACCCAGCACCTTTCCTTCGATCCTTCCGCGCGGCCGATGCCAGTGTGTTCTGAGCATCAATCTGCGCCACAAGTTTCGCTTCTTCTTGGGCTTTTTGGATCGCACGTTGCCGCTGCGCCTCCTGCTGTGCAGCTGCAGCTTGAGCACGTTGCCTTCTTGCCTCCTGATGCACCATGAAACAAAATTGAAACAAGGCGTTTCCGTCCTCTCCCAAACAGCTAAAGAAAACCAGGAAAATGTGCAGCATGAAAATCATCAATCCCGATGCGAATCTGTGGAATGGAACATGCTCTCATACAAAAACCTTGGGCCCCAGAAGAGACCAAAAAACCCTTTTGCAAGCGCTCCTCAAGTCTGGCCGCCTCCTCAGCTGTCAGCTGCCGCGGTCTCGTTTCTGGCTCTCGCAGCTCTTGGCGGCGCCGCTGCAGCTGCGCATGCGGGTCGATTGGGATCCCACTCTCGAGGAAGATCCTCGCCTGAATTGGCAAGCACGACAGCTATGGGTGGTTCTATGATGACTGAGTGGCTTCACTAATCATGTGCTCCTTGCGGGGGCTGGACTTCATGTTGGGTGCTTGCAAGATCAGAACCAGCCTGCTCTTGGAAGGACAGCTCCCGAAAAGCTGGGTACACATTGGCGCCGACATCTTCGCTATTCGGAAGGAACTCTTTGAGGACCAGGGCTGCATGCTGCCGCGCCTGTCCCTCTGTGCATTTCATGTTCTTACAACAGCATTCCACACACTGCCCCAGCGCTTTGTCACAGACTGTGCACACTGGTTTTCTGCATTGATCGCAGAAACACCCCGTTGGCAGCCCGCACCACATGCATGGTGGTGTCACCACTATGTGTCGACCGCCAGCAATGAGTCGACGTTGCTCAGCCTGCACCTCGGCAGTGATGGCTTCCCTGGCCTTGGGCCTTGTGACGCGCTTCCATCTGGAAGCGGTCTCTTTTGCAGTTTTTGGAGCAGCTTTGGGCACTGCTTTGGGCGCAGCAGCTGTCACCTCATCATCCGATTCCGATGGTGGGCTCAAGAGGTAGTCCAAGGCAGCCTCATCGATGGGCACTTCTTTTCCGTCCACGACCAGGAACGGCATTGGAGCAACGACGACATGAACAGTTCAGGGACCCTTGAGCGATCTGCAGCCTTTCCATTGAAGGTGCATAATATGCATAATGGAAGGGTACTGAGTACTGGCTGGTGCTGGGTGTCAATGTGTGACCCGCTGTGGTTTGCAAGCTGTTCTCACTAGCCGTCCCTGGGATGCTGAAGCCAAACAGGCTCTTCGCAGGAAAGGTCACACTTTTCCAGGGCTGGTCACCGAGATGAACGACGCATCTTGAACAACAAAAAGGTGTTCATATTGTTTAGCGCACCAAGTTAAAAGGGTTCTCCAAACATCTTTTCCGTCATGAAAGTCATTGACTCTTTTCGCTCACAATGCCAGGCACTCCTGGAAGACACTCGTTTTTTTCCCCTCAGTCAGGCATTCTGAAGGGGATATTCCATACAAGGAATACGATCTCAAGGGACAAGTGGTGCATGGCTGCCATCTCCATTTTCTGCGGATCAAAGGGCCTCGAGTCACTCGAGTCGTGCGAACGCGACATCTGCTGGTTGCCTCAGGCCATACCAGGGATACCATGGACAAGTTGCCCAAGAAGTAACTGGGACTTGTGGGATGTCCAAATTGCTTCGGCAGCTCAAGATATTCCAAATTGGTTGGGAAGTTCGCTGCGTTGGCAGAATGGTGTTTTTGGGATAGGAAAGCAATCTTCGTGCAATGTGGAGCTGAAAAGACATGTTTGGGGCTTCCCACTTTTGAAATATCAAGTTTTGGGATACCCTGTTCAGGCTGTATGTCCAAGCTGTGCAGGGATCATGCTCACTCGGCAAGGAAGACAATCAAATGCTTTGGCAAGCTTGCGATCAAGCAACGTTCATTACCATGCTGGCCCCTGTCACACGCGCTGGACCTGGGAAAATGCAAGGAGAACAAAGCGACAAAAAGACCAGAAAACGGGAAAAAAAGTTCCGTGACACATCACGATGCTTGCCCAAATGCACACGGCGATCGAATCATGAAAAACTGACTGGCACGTTCGAACGTGTATGTGGAATCATGCGAACTGACTGGCACTCACTGAGTGTCTATCAAACTTGTATTGGGCAACCCATGGTCCAGCAAAGCAGTAGGAGAGCTCCCACTGTTTCAAGAGTTTCTGAATGGCTGTGCAAAAAACAATTGAGTCATGACATGATTTACTCTAAACATCCCTAAACTAGCAGATTGAATCTGCAATTCTATCCGTATCTCTTCAGTTCCGCATGACGTGTTTCTGCATTTGTCCTTCATCCTGAGGACGTGGCCGGGAGGTTTCAGCGATGGGTTAAGTGCTTGCTGGATCGGAAAGTGAAACCTTCCAAATGCGCCACCAACAATTCAAATGACAAGGACCAAAATAACAATTGTTGTCTAAATTGTTGTTCTAAACGAATTGGAAAACTCAATCTGCAAACTAATTTTCCTATTCAACCGGCTTTTAGGTTGGCCACTGGCACTCAAAGCAGATGCCAACTTCCAAAATGTTCATGGAAAATGGATTGCTTACTCACCGAAAACAATGAAGGAACCAATGCAAAATCAGGAATGCAAATGAGGAAGCTATACTCTCAATTGCACCGGATGCGGCAGAGAGGTGGAAACTCCGTCAGCACTGGCACGCTGTGGAGGAAGCACTGAAAACATTCTGAATTAAGTCCAAGACAATGAAGATGATGACTCCCAGCTGCACCAGTCCCATACTTTGCGCTTCTCCTGTTTGCGGGAACGTGACACCCTGTCAAATCAAAATTTGAATGAATTAGAAGAGTAAAGAAAAGAAAAGAAAAAAGTGTCCACTGGACTGTACAGTTCAGAACAAGGGCATCAAATTTCTCATGTCGACAAGCAAAACATGTCAAAACAAGCACTCTTGAAAAGTAGCATCGGTGCATCGAAAACTGATGCGCCTGCCTCAAGCGATGGCGCTTCCGATTTGAATGTCATGTGATGGCTTCGCCTGCCAAAGTTGACTGTTGACTATGTTGACTGGTGACATGCAAACCATGGAAAACAATGGTGTGTTGACCATGGTTGAAACCCATGAATATCTGTGGTCAGTTCAGAATAGTTCAGACAGAGTTTCATATGATACATATGACATAGACATTGGCAACTGGGGGGTGTAAACCCCAAGATACACACTACAGAATGCGAAGAGTAGCGATCTGGCCTCTGCTCACGGATGATCTGATGGGTGAGTCACTCATGGCATCAATCGCATCATCCACCTGCGATATCCAATGGCCGTTATTAACCCACACACGTCACCATAGTTCACCATCTGTCATTTGCTGCTTGGTTTAGACCTTGGTTAGAGATTGCTGATGTCCCTGAAAATTGGAATCTTTGCTATGAAATAGATATTTGCACCATGATCATTTGCTCCTTGAGACTGCCTTAAAAAAATACGAATCTTCCGGTTGGATCTCCCAAATGGTAGCTAAACCAATGGGAAACCAACTCAGAAAATCCCCAGGATCAACAGAAGCTGGCTGCTCCACCGGGCCACCAGGCCACCAGCATCGTGGCCGAATCCATGGGGGTCACCTGGGTCACCTGGCGGATATTTTTTGGGAGCAACCCCAACTGCAGAAATTCTGCCAAGAAAGACTTCCCAATTTTGGGAGTTTTGCTTGTGAATGATCTGAAATGATCTGAATGAGCACAAAACAATACAAAAAAAAACAAAAAACAGCCGTCAGATCCGTCAGCAAATAGAGCCAGTGGTGCTTAAAATCATCGACTCGGACCGTGCCAACTGGAGGATTGCTGCCTTCAACACTGCACATTTTTTCCGCCTTGGGCCACCTTGGCCACCTTGGCCGAATGGCAAAGTACCGCTTTGCAAAAGCGTCGGAATCCGTCGGACATGGCTCTGACTGTTCCACCATCTTCCCTGCTACTTCTTGGGTCTTGACTGGAGCTGCAGGAGCTGCAGGTCCGTGAGGTGGATATAGGTGGATGCTTCCAGATGGTTCTGGTGAAGTTGCTGAGTTCATCCCGGTCGCCTTCAAAAAGACATTCTCTCAACATGCTGCACTGTCTCTTTGAAAATGAAAATAGATGAAAATAGTACAAACATGTGTAAAATAGTTGGGTGCATTCAAATCAAATCGTATCGCATCGAGCTACCGGAGCTCTTGAAGCTCTTGGCGAATGCTCGAGCGGATTCGATTCGAGCTGGCAGCTTCGTGCCACGCGTCCTCGCTCAAGGAATGTTCAGCAGCAGATTCTTCTGAAACTGTATATCTAGCTGCCTGTAGCAGGTCTTGATCAAAAGATATCGAAAAAATCTCGACAGCATACCACAATTTGCAACATCCCTAAGCATTGCACTACATTGCAACTAGATCACCAAAAAAAACAAAGCGCGCTATGCGTGTGCTATGCGCGTGCTATGCGTGGTAAGGGTTTCAGCCTAAGGCACTGCGTGCCCCGCTCTGGCATCTTGAAGACGCTGCCGGCGAAGCACTCGCTTTGCTGCAGATCTGCTGCCTGAAACACGATTCGATAATATTCGATACATCAATGATACATCGATACACAAACGAATACACAAACGATATGTTGACCTGAGATAACCTGAGGTAACCTGTCGACTTGGTACCTCCAGGAGTTCCAATGCCAGGATGGTCTTGTGGGTTCACAAAGACGATGGTCCCAGGTCCAGGTGCCACCGAATCACGAAGCCGTTGCTGGCGTGGCGACATGTGACCGAAACAGTGGAAACAAGTGGAAACCAACCGACAGTTGAAGGGAAAGTGATGGAAAACTGGGGGAAAACAGGGGAAAACTGACACATTTATAGAAAAAAAAAAAAAAACTGTTGGCAACTCATGAAAACTCGCCGGGAGCACGAATCCTCCCCATGGCACCAAAGAAGGAGACATATGGCCAGTGAGACCAGGTCCTGTCGACTTTGTCATACTTTGTCACTGTATGTTCCGATGTGGAACTGTCAGGATTCCAATTGTCACTGCCAGCTGCAGGCACCTCGCCCTGAAGCCTTAGAACATCTTAGAACCAGTGCAACACGCCAAAACTCTGCACCATGCAGATCAGAGACTGTCCCAAGATGTCTCAAAAACAGTCAAAATGCAAAGAGATATCAAATGATATCAATAGATGTGTCGGTATATGACATGAAGTGGCAAGGCCACAAGCAGCACCTGGCGGTCTTCAATTTCTTCCAAGCTACGGCAGTCTCTGCGTAGGCTCCCAGATCTGTGCCCCAAGTAGGTGAATCTTGATCAGCCTGGCAGGGGATTTTGAAGGCACTTTGGGGTGAAGCCTGGCAGGCTCACCAGTCACAAGCGATCTTGGCCCCAGCTATTTCAAGCTATTTGACCCTGTTTGAAGCAGAAAGGCCAAACCCAACATGTTTGAAATGTTTGAAATCCGCTGTGGTTGCCTCACTCCCATTGCTCATGTCAGAGCTGTGGTTGCTCCTTTGGCTGCTTCTTTGGCTCGCACTTCCAAAGTTGCCACTCGTCCGAGCTTCGATTCTTGGCACTTCGACTCTTGCGGCGGACTTTTTGGAGCCCACCTCAGCTGTCTGAAGATCTTGATGATGAAACAACTCGTCACCACTCTCCTCACTCTTCTCACTCTCCTCTGCACGAGCGCCAGGAGCAACAGGAGCACCAGCACTGTCAAGTGAATCTCCGCTCTCCAAGTCTTCGCTGTCACTGTCTCTGCGTCTTGCCGGTCTTGCCGGTCTTGCTGGCGTCTCCTCCTCCTCCTCCTCCGAAGTGTCTGAAGGAACTCGGCGAAGCTGTTTTGCCTTGCAACAGCAGTGCCACTCAGTGCGATAGCGCTGCCATGCCACAACTGAACTGAGACAAATCTCACAGCCGTCCCGGCCTTGTCTGAAGGTTTCGCCACAGCTGGGCTTCTGCCACTTCCATCACTGCCATCACTTGCATCGCTTGCATCGCTTCCTTCCCAGCCTTTTCCCTGACTTTCTTCACCTTCACTCTCAGCTTGCGTCTGTCGCCATGGAGGATCTACAAGAAGAGCCTGGAAACTGAAACCAACCAGACATGAAAAAAATGTGTTGACGAAAAGCATTAAATAAACGTGAAGTTCACATGAGAAGGGTTCCAAGGCCCCAACGGAAAATTCCACCTTCTGCGGTTTCCTGATTCTCATGTGACTTGTGGATCGATTGGCAGCAAAAACTAGCAACATGACCTGCTGAGGAGGCGAGTGTAGTCCAGGGAATGCGGCGGGTACTTCCAAATCCTTAGCCGTATCCGTAGGCAGGGCTCAGGAACAAACAGCACACCATGTTCTTTCAGCATCCTGCCACTGGGTCTATCTGCTTGAATTCATCACACATCATGGGACGCAAATGGATCTGTTGCAGTTGAGAGTCTGTTCAGTCTCAGTTGCCTCAGTTGCCGCAGCCTGGGCAGTCTTTGGGTGAATGCGCTCCTGCGTCGGTGTCTGTTCCCATGGAAGAGGCAGGCCAGGCAGGGCCTCAGATGATTGCCATCCGCGAACTGCCAGCAACGGCCGAAAAAACCGAAGATGTTAAGCACCAACGAGCTCTCGGAGCTATGCCATCTATGCCGCCATGAATCGCTTAAGAAGTTACTTCCAGGTGCAGATGGCATGACTTCACCAGCATCGAGTTCCGCCTGCCTGAGATGTGGAGCCAGTGACCAAAAGATCCATAGAAACTGCACCAAAACTGACACGACTGTTCCGCACATCGCCATTGCCATGGCCTCCGGCGGGCTTCGCGAGCTTCTTTGACTCCACGCTCCTGTGTGTCTAGGAAAACATGAGAATCTCAGAATCCCAGAATCCCAAAAACACAGGAGGGTTTCAACTTGAGGATCTTCAGAATCCTCATACTTCAGCTTCAAACAGCTTTCAATCTCACAACATCTCACAACATCTAAACAGATCTAAACAGCTGCAGCTCCGCTCCATAAATTTGGCAAAATCCACCAGCAAATGCAAGTGCACATGTCACAATCATATCAGCCCCAGCCCCAAGTGACAAGCTGCAAAGCCTCAACATGCTCACCTATGAATTGTTTAAAGCGACTCAAGTGTTCTACCCTTGCAAGATGAGAGCATAATAGCATATAATAGCCATGGCGGTCCATAAGGTCACAAACATGCAGCTGTTATGAAATTTCCAGTTGTCATGACTTTATCACTTCCAGTGAGGTTTCTTGTTGGGAGCCGGATATTCGGCCAGATTGACGCGCCTGCGCACCCTCTTGCACGACCTCATCCAACTCTGTCTCCGCAGCCAAAGTTGGAAGTTTACCATCTGGATGCGTCGAAACTTTCAAATCTTTCAAAGAAACCAAAACAGAAATGCTGACATCTGCTTGCAACCACTGCAAAAAATGGTGCCTGAGTTCAGCTTTGCATGCTGCAGTGTCTGTTCTTCCAGGGCAAAACCTGACTCTTCCATGAGTTTCTGCTGAACCTGCACAAGGTAACAAGGCCAGCTTGCCAGAAACTCCGACAAAATCCTCACAGAGAATCCAAAATACAATTTTTATAGTGTTCAATTTCATGCTGCATTCACTGTGTTTCCGTTTCGAACATATCCATCACAACACAGGCCTTCCGCAATTTCCAAGAGCGATCTGCGGAGATTACCCACCTGAACCCAAAATTCTGAGCCGGTTGGAGTCCCGGGGGAGTGTGGTTTTGGCAGGTGGTTTCTGTGTTTCATTTGGATGTTTATTGATGTTTATTGTCAAAGTTTGCACAATGCTCCACATTTTTTCTGTCTTGTCAGCCTTGCCTGTGACCAGCATCGTCTGAAATACTGACCTAAAAACACGTGTAATATCAACCTGTCAACAAAAACTTTCGCCAAAGTTGATTCCAAAACCTTGAAAGTTGATTCCAAAAACGCATAAGTTGAAATCTCACGCTGCCATGAGTCCAAGTTGCATCCACCGGCCTGGATAATATCAGTTCTGGCCGATGAAGCGGTGCAAATTTGCAAAGCCACAGTTGATTCATCAATTCAAAATCAATTCAAAACAGTGAAATCACAGTGAAATCACAGTCAAATCACAGTCAAATTACATTCAGTTGAACAAACATGGCAATTCTTTGGCAGCATTTACAGCCAGCTGTCCTTGCTGAGGTCCAGCGGGTAAAAAGTCCCCCAGTGGTTGATCTGAGGCTGGCAATGGAGTGCGGCCTCGGAGATTGGTAGATCCTTTGAGTTGGATACCCAACCTGGCTATGACCAACATAGCCATGGAAAATTGATGGCCCATTTGCCCATAGAAATAGATGGTTTTTTTCCAAACCTCCATTTATTAGGGATTTTCCATGGCTATGTTCGTCATAACCAGATGGTATATTGTAGATGTGAAAAGATCGATGAAAATAGAGTCATATCATGTCATATCATGTCATATCTGCATCCCTGGCACGGTATGCTACCGAGCTGCCAAACTTCAACAGGATGTCGTCTTCGTCAAAACCGCTTTGGGCTGCCACAACACTCTTCAGCTTCGCAGAGCTCCAGGAACGATCTGCCTCCCAAGAGATCGATGGATGAGAGCCCACATCGATGATGTCTCAGTCTGTATCCTTCTGATCTGAAAATATGAGCCATTGAAAATGGCATGAAAGTCCATTTGTGACTCATGTACACTCGTGTTTTTGTTGACGAATTTGCCTTAAATGAGACCTGGTGACCTGATCCATGTCCAATCCATTCGATATTTTACTTTGGAGCTTTAGGTGTTCAATAAAACACCATTAAACACCATTAAATCCAGCTGCTTAATGGTGCTTAATGGTGTTTTTCATCGGATCCAGCACTGGTGTCGCGGTGTTGCCCACCTTGATTGTGGAGGTGTTGCCTTTGACATCCACCACGTTCAGAGCCACTGGCTGCTCCACCACAAGGTCTGGGAGGTCACCAGGATGATAAGCATCGCTAGGACCGATGCTAATCATGTAAAAAATCTAGGCCAGGCTTCACAAAAACCTGATCCCATGGGATAGTCAATATACATCCATATACTGTATATATCTGTATACATATATATATATATATTATATATATATATGATGTATATTGAATATAAATACTATATATGATATTCATAGGAAGACCCAGAGATGTTTTCCAGTCACCCTGGTCACCCTATTTTTTGTAACGCCGAAGGCCTGCTGCGGATAAGAGGTTTGCATCCAGGACTTCGGTGGTGTCTTGTAATACACGGCGACCAGCTGCAGAGTCCAAAACCTCGAGGTCTTCATGGGGTTTGTTAGGTTAATGATGGTTAATGATGGTTAATGATGGTTAATGATGGTTAATGATGGTTAATGATGGTTAATGATGGTTAATGATGGTTAATGATGGTTAATGATGGTTAATGATGGTTAATGATGGTTATCTTCCATGTCTCTCAAAGTCTACAAGCTGCATGTTCGAAAAGCTTTCAAGAACCATCCAAAAGATCTTGAAGGTTGACCATTCATGGCAAATCTGGAAAAAACAAAACACACAACAATCTGTCGATCTCAACAATCTGCTGAGACGCTATGCGAAGATCCTTTTCACTGATGCCAAGTGATTCGGACGCCAGAGCCTTGCATCGCTAAAAATGAGCTCTGCACTCGACTCAAAATATCAACCGCCAGGAAGGTGCAAGCGCTTACATCCAAAGTGACTCGAACAATACGTGGATTGGAAGAAATCCAAACCTTTCTGAGTTGGTTGGAAGTACTCCCACCTTCAACTCCTTCACAGAAACTGCTTTGGTCACAGTAGTGATTTCACCTTGACGGATGTGCCGTGGGTCTTTTTTGTCCAAGCTTTGAACAAGTTGGGTCACCAATTAGCTGAGCCAATGACCGCCCTCGGAATCCATCATGGGACAATTGAAAGATACCTGAGGCAATTCTCGCCATGAAACTTCCAAAACAAAACCTGAAAAAAAAATCGAAGTATCTCATAGTATTTCTAGATTGAAACTCAGGATGATCCCAAAGCTTTCACCACGAAGTCAAGAGCGAATATGGGTTGACATGTCTTAGGAAATCTCGGAATGAAAAGCAACCAAACAATTGACACAGTGTTCCACTTCCAGAGACTTTAAAAGCGACATTTTGCAATAGACAATTCGTTCAATTCATGGGGAAATCGACCAATCGACCAATTTTGCCGTCAGGGAAACGACCTCCTTTTTCGGTGCCGCAGGTGTCCCGGAAGGAGGCTTTGGGATAGCCTTGGGCGGCGCTCCTGGCATTGATTCGATCCTAAAAAATCATAGGAATCATAGGGATTGGACCCAAAAAAATTGGGATCTTATGGGTTTATAGTTTTTATGGGAATTTAACCAAACTTGAGAGCAAAGGAGAACGAAATTCCATGGGTCTTAAAGTCTGAAATGCAGAAATGGGAGGCTGGATGTGAGAGACCGTGAAAATGTTTGCAAAAGGTTTGTGGCACAGAGGACCAAAAGCAAGATGAAATGCGAAGGCATTGGGAACGGCGATGGGGAGTAACTGAGTATAGTAGGGAGAAAGCGGAGAAACTATTATTGGTGATGATGACAGTGATGATAACAAGGATGGTGATGGTGGTGATGATGAGGATGTTTGGAGGAGGAGGAGGACTATGACAGCTGCATATAACAACTATGATGTACACAAATCACGCCCCCAAAATGGAAGCCGTGCAGGGCAAGGAAAAAGCCAGAAAAAAATGCGAAGATGGAATCTCATTGATGCCACCTTTAAGTGTGCGGATGGTCGGGGTAAACACAATATGGGTTACACCTACGTAAGGGTTTACCACACCAACTACACTTGCCAATATTGCTTTCAAACAACATGGAGAGATCGCACCTTGTTACCTGATTCTGGAAAAGCAAAACTAAATTACACACCAAAACAAAATGCATACTATGTGTGTCATACGTGCAACCTTAAGCTCAAGTCATGCAAATATAGTATCTATACCTACAATTTGTACCATGTGGCTCATATTATGGATGTCCCATTACTTACTAACCGGGGGGGACGAAAGCCAGCCTCCAAACAAATGCTCAGGCGGCGTTTTTTTCTTTGCGCTTTATGCTCTGTGTGTTGCATGAGAGCTGTGCACCACAGAGGTCAATTTTTCGCTGCTGGCCGTTTCACCCCAGCAACCAATCCTGTTGTTGAGACGCTTTTACACACAGACCCTTTTACACACAGACGCTTTTACACACAAACACTTTTACACACAAAAGTTTTTACACACAGACCCTTTTACACACAAACACTTTTACACACAGAAACTTTTACACACAGACCCTTTTACACACAAACATCTTTACACAGAGACGCTTTTACACACAGAAGGTTTTACACACAGACACACAGATCCTTTTACACACAAACATGTTCACACAGAGACGGTGTAACACACAGACCCTTTTACACACAGACTTTTTTACACACAAACATCTTTACAAAGAAATGCTTTTACACACAGACCCTTTTACACAGAGACACTTTTACACACAGACACTTTTACACACAGACCCTGGTACGCACAAACATATTTAGACAGACACGCTTTTACACACAGACCCTTTTACACAAACACACGCTTTTTCACACAGACGCTTTTACACACAAACACGTTTACACACAGACGCTTTTACACACAGACCCTTTACACACAGAAGCTTTTTCACAGAGACCCTTTTACACACAAACATTTTAACACTGAAACACTTTTGTCACAACGCCTTTACACACAAACAGCTTCCCACAGCGACGCTTTTACACAGAGACCCTTTTACACACAGACCCTTTTACACGCAGACGCCTTGACACACAGACGCTTTTACACACAGACCCTTTTACACACAAACATCTTTACACAGAAATGCTTGTACACACAGACACTTTTACACACAGACCTTTTTACACACGGACCCTTTTACGCACACACACGCTTTTGCACACAGACCCTTTTACACACAGACACCTTTGCACACAAACACTTTTACACACAGACCCTTTTACACACAAACAGCTTTACACAGAAACACTTTTACACACAATCCCTTTTACACACCAATTCCTCACACAGAGACGCTTTTACACCGAGACGCTTTTACACATAGACCCTTTTACACTACACACAAACGCTTTTACACACAGACGCTTTTACACACAGACGCTTTTACACACAGACCCTTTTACACACAGAAGCTTTTACACACAGACCATTTTACACACAAATATCTTTACACAGAAACACTTTTACACACAGACGCTTTTACATACAAACATCTTACACAGAGACGCTTTTACACACAGACCCGTTTACACACAGACCCTTTTACACACAGACCCTTTCACACACAGACGCCTTTACACACAGACACTTTTTTCACACAGACCCTTTTACACACAAACATCTTTACACAGAAATGCTTTTACACACAGACCCTTTTACACACAGACACTTTTACACACAGACCCTTTTACACACAGACCCTTTTACGCACACACACGCTTTTTCACACAGACCCTTTTACACACAGACGCTTTTACACACAAACACTTTTACATACACACACACACGCTTTTTCACACAGACCCTTTTACACACAGACGCTTTTACACACAGACCCTTTTACACACAGACGCTTTTACACACAAACACTTTTACACACAGAACCTTTTACACGCAAACATCTCTACACAGAAACTCTTTTACACACAGACGCTTTTACACACAGAGGCTTTTACATACAGACCCTTTTACGCACAAACATCTTTACACCGACATGCTTTTACACACAGTAGTAGCAGCAGCAGCAGCGGCTGTTGTTGTTGTTGTTGCTGTTTTAAAGCAAAAAATTGTCAAATAGGTGGTGTTTACGTGTTTTTTGAAGAGTCTCGGAGCAAAAAACACCGTAAATACCGTGTTTTTTACGCCTCGCAAGCCCAAAACCACGGTATTTACGGTGTTTTTTGCTCCTGGTAGCAAAACCACGGTACTTACAGTGTTTTGTGGCCAGCACCTAGCAAAAACAGTGGTATTTACACAGTTTTCAGCATGTTGCAAGAAGTACTTTTTCCATGCCAAAAGCACAAAAACACTGTAAATTACAGTGTTTTTGCTTTTGAAACCCGATGAGAAACGTCAGAAAACAACCAACAAGTGTCCAAAATGGAGCTTCTCTTTCAAGCTCCACAAAACGAAAGTGCGGCACGGCATTTTTGGAGCTCTCCCCGGCCAGGCTCTGGCCTCACGTTCCCAAACGGGCCCAAATCAGAGCCTCCCCCCCCCCACCCCCTAGATTAGCTTCGCTTCGCTTCGCTTATACCTATACTCAACCCAGGCCTTCGGCTGGCTTTCGTAATATTTATTATTCCCATTGTTGCCTAATCACCCAATAGAAATGGTTGAAATTCCCACTCCCTTCACCAATCTTCAGTAACTCTCGGGTCCTGGTGGCACGGGTTTTCTGGGAGACTTCGGTGCAACCTTGGCCTTGGAGACGACCTTGGCCTTCGGAGCGGCCTTGGGCTTCACGGGCTCCACTTTCCAGGGCACAGCCACCTGTCAAGGTTTGGGACAAGGAACTCATGGCCATCAACAAATTGCGACCAATGTCAACGCCGAAATGTTTAGGCTTAGCTTCATTGAAAGATTTATGCATCCAAGACTTGTGCTTCGGGTTCCTCAGTTGGGAGCCTCCTCTTCTGCAGCTTCCTCTCCAGTTTCTGCAGTTGGGGCCTCTTAGATGCTCGACATTAACAAATAAACGACATTCGGTCAACAGCAAAAATCATCTGAAATTGATTCAGAGCTGTCCATTGTTGTCCATTGTTCATGTTCCTTTTCTGGTTTTTAATCTGCAAAGTGAAGAAAATCCACCAAGCGGCTGTAGAACCGGGTGGCGGCGGCATCGGTGGTGGCATTCGCTGTTTCGGTGGCTGCACTTGCCTGGAGCCATAGGAGGTCCGGTTCCGCGACTTTGGAATGGCAAGTTCCATGGAAACCCTGCAATGTTCCAAATGACTTCAAGCCGATGTTCAGATTCAACATTTGGAAGATGAATATGAATCTAGTCAGCTTGGCCCTTATTGAAATAAGCACATCAAGGGTCTGATTCGACCTCCCCTCTGTACAGCCAATGACCATGTACCAAGCTGCTCAAAAGGCAGAGGCCCGGAGGAAGGAGCACTTGCTGTTGCCTCCATTGGCCCCGGAAATTCCTGTGGCACGGCCAACATGGCAACAGTGCGCCCCTTCAAGGCAAACTCCACTGGCTGAGCTATGCCAGCGATGCCGCAATGAGGATCTGACTGGGGTTCCCGGAGCATCTTGCCCAAGCTGCTCTGCCGTTCCGATCTGGGCACTTCCTGGCGGATCTTTGTGTGCCTGCAGAAGGTGCGCGAGCAAAACAGAGGCACCAAGTCACAATATTGAAATACTGGATTTAAAAAATATTTTAAAAAATGCAGTCCACGAACCCGAATGCAGTCACGTAAAACACTTTTGCGCAACAGGTTTTTTGAACAGTCTTGTACATGTTTCCCCTGCTACCGTACCAGTGCACTGTAGACTGCGGAATGCGGAAGAGAGTGGAGTGCAAAGTGTGGAGTGCAAAGTGTGGAGTGTAAAGTGTGGAGTGCGGAGTGTCGTGTGTAATGTGTAAAGTGTAGAGGGTAAAGTGTGAAGTGTAGAGTGGGGATTGTAGAGTGTGGAGTGCAGAGTGTGGAGTGTAAAGCGTACAGTGTGAAGTGTAGAGTGAAAAAAGTGTAAAAAATGTAAAAAAAAAAAGTAAAAAGTGTACAAAATGTATGTTTGTGCCTTTCGTGTAAAAAGTGTAAAAAAAAAAGTGTAAAAGTGTAAAAAGTGTTTTCAAAAATGTAAAAGTGTGACAAGTGCGGAGTGTGGAGTGTAAAGTCTGGAGTGTGGAGTGTGGAGTTCAAAGTGTAAAAAGTGTGGAGTTTTAAGTGTGGAGTGTGGAGTGCCGTGTGTAAAGTGTAGAGTGTGGACCACGCGGACGGTTGCAGACGGTTGCGAACGGTTGCGGACGGTTGCGGTCGTAAACGCAACGTCGAGCGAACACACCCTCAACCCCCAGGCCACCAGACTGAAACGGGAACCCTTGCTACGCATTCGGGAAAAACACGCTTGGCAGTGTGAAACTGTGCCTGGGAAACTTCATCGACTTGGTCCCAATCCAGCGATGTCTCCAACTGAGAATGCTCCCCAATGTGTCATCCATTCACATCTATTCACATGTGCAATTTCTGCCGTTTCTTCTGAGTCTTGTGGAAATACAGAACTCATCAGGACACTGGTCACTTGAAAAAAAAGGTGGTTACAGCTCAAGCACATGTCAGCCCTGGTGTGCTCAGGAATCTGCTCGTCTAACGCCACAGTGGCGACAATAGATGCTGTCATCGGTGAATTTGGTGTGGCAATGAACACCTGAAGATGCCGCTCAGAATGTGACCACCAAAAATGTCAGCATGAGGCTGCTGGGAAGCTGACATGCACCATAATCGATTTCCTTGCTCTCTTTGCCCTCCTTGACCTCCTGGCAAAGTGTGCCGCGGTACAGTAGAGTTGCACTATTCAAAAGCAGACATTAGCCAATATTACCTCATATGTTATCTGAACTACAAAATACGATCCAGTATGACCTTATATGACCCAATGCTGCTTTAGGATGTAAACCAAAGTGATAAGAACGGACCTCGACCAGCGACAAACAGAAGTCCTGCTGTCCCGTTGCCAGAGGAAGCCGCAACCCACTGGGTGGAGCCTGCTGAGCCGCCACTGGACCACTTCCAGTGGTTCCTTTGCCACCAGCTTTTCCCTGCCAGGGATTTTGAATGAGTTGGAACTGACCAATTTTGAAAGAAACAGTGGCATTTCAAGTTCCATCTCTTCACCCCACCTTCCCTGCCGCACCAGTTTTTGCGACACCTTTACCACTCTTGCCGCCTTTGGCTTTGGCCTTTCCTTGTGCCAGCACTCCTTGGCCAGCACCTTGACCCCAGATCTTTGCTCCCTGGGCCTTTGCCCTGGCAGATTCCTGGGAACACACAGCACTTTAGATACTCTTTGGTGCGAACAGATTTTTGGTGTTTTTGAATCGCATGAGGTATACAATATACGACATGATATACATGTCTTATTGCTATTGTATACATACACAGCTTGAATTGTTTGGATTGCAAGTCTTATTTATCTCACATCTCTCTGGGTGCAACACGAGCTGAACGTTTGGCATCTCAATTGTGAGCTGCCTGCAACAACACAATAAGATGTGACCACTCCAACATATTTTGGCGAAGTTGCAATAAACGTTGTCCCTATAAAGGTTGAGAAACAAGAATGGCAAGCAACATAGCACATTGCAATGCTGAAGTGCGGGCTGGGTTTGATAGGCAAGGAGAACGTTCATGAAGTTTTCCTTGCTGATGTTCCCAGAACCTTGGCAACGAGAAAAATCAAAATTAAGTTCCTAGAGGACTTCACTGACTTCGCATCAAGAAATGCTCCACAAAGGAGTCCGCTTGGGCCCAGACCATCCCAATCCAAGTCTTCGAATCTTAGAACTTTCCCTTCAGCCTGGAAGATTTTTCAATCGTTATTGGCCATTCGGCAGTCCCCTTCCAGCATCCGGATAATATTGCATAATATTATGACGTGAAATATTACTAAATCCGCCCGCACCGAAGGTGCTGGGGCGTGATCTTCCGGATGGCACTCGTAAAAGGTTACAGGTTTACCTGGGGGGGGGAGGGGCATTTTTCGGCCAAAACCTCCTGTTTTTGATAGGTCGTGACGCTCGCCTTCAAAAAACACTGTAAAAAACAGTACGGAAGACACCTGTTCGTGAACGTGCCCGTCCAAAATCGGCAAGCGAAAAGTGAAAAAAACCCGTGTTTTTCAACTTTTTGACCTCAATTTTTTGGTTTGCAACATCTTTTTTTGCGGTTCCGCAGGTGGCCGGGCCCGGAGGCGGATTTTTGAATTTTTGGACCCGTTTTCGGACTGATTTTCGTCGTTTTGTGATAGCAGAAACACTGGTTTTTACAGTGTTTTTCTGTTTTCTGCATGCTTGACGGCTAGCTTCAAAACTTCCAAAAACCTCGTAAATTACGCTGTTTTATGTTACGGTGTGAATACATCGTAAATACCAGTGTTTTTTGACGTTGGTTAAAAAAACACTGTAAATTACAGTGTTTTTGGCCACCTGACCCTCAAAAACAATGGTATTTGCAGTGGGTTCTGCTTCTCACCGCGCAAAAACACTGCAAATAACAGCAATTCCGCCGTTTTTTCATGTTTTTCGTTATTTTTTGAACTGCGTTGGTCCGCTATACATGGCTATCAAATTATTCGCGTTTTTTTTTCGACAATCAGTACTTTCGGATGTTTTTGGTCTCAATGGCCGACATCATTGGCAGTTACGAGCGGCTGCCCAACGATGCGGTGCGGGCGGTTGCCGTCGCGAAGCGACGTGAATATTCATTATGTTACGATGTTCAAACTTCAAAATCTAACCAATGACAGAATTTGGCTAGTAGCAACGTCACTATCATTTTCCAACATCAGGCTTCATTATGTACTCAACAATGATCACATCAATTACTTTCAGGCAAACAGCAACCTTGCGGCTTGCGGCGATGGGCTGTCGGACGAAACCTACCGCAGGCCATGGGAAGTGATGGATTTGGGCGCTGCCAATTTTGATGATGACTGGCTGAATGATACATTATATAATACAAATAGTACCCGGGCAAGCCCGGGGCGGAAGTTTCAAAATGAAGCGCCTATAGCCTATAAAACCAAAAAAAGAATGCGCCTAGAGGATGTGGGCAAGCGCCTTCACACGCAGAAGTTTTTGCACTCAGCGGTTTTTACACACAGATTTCTTTTGCAGGAAGAAACCTTTACACAGAAGTCTGTATTCACAGACACCCTGTCATGTTCGACCCTCATTTCGTGCGAAAGGGTTGCACCGGGCGCTTCGAAATTTCAATTTTACCTAAGTTTCTGACATTCGATCCTCATTTTGTGCGTCAGTTTCTGACGTTCAACCGTCATTTCGCGCGAAAGATGCGCGCCAGCCGTCTGGAGATCGGAATTTTACATCAGTTTTTGACGTTCGGCCGTCATTTTGCGCGACAAGGCTGTGCCGCGGCCAAACGAATTCGCATGTAGCCGCGCTTTTGGACGTCCGACGCGCAGAACCTCCACAGAGGGCCACATTTGGATAGGCATCGCCGCGCTGCCACTGCCACCTTAAGAGAGAAATATAGAAGGGTCGACCTGGCAGGCGCTTTGTAATACTGATCACCTACACGTCAACACCTTCAAAGATGACTTTTGTATGTGTTTGGTAGGAGCTCCTAGAAGTTGATCACCGGAATATCACCTACATGTCTACACCTGCCTAGATGATATAGACGACGCTATACGACGCTGCATAAGTGCTTTTAGGAGTTCCGACGAACACCAACATGTCTACGCCTACGCCTGCATATATGATGTAAAGGAATAGATAGCGCGTGTGGTGTCGATAGTTATGTAGATGATGTAGAAGATATGATACATGATGTAAGCGATCTTGATGATGTAGGTGGTGGATACATGATGTAGTTGATGGATGCATGTGAGGACGACGATGATGATGGTGATGGTGATGGTGATGATGGTGATGGTGATGATGATGATGATGACGATGATGATGATGAAGAAGAAGAAGATGATTATGATGTAGGTGATGTAGATGATGGCGAAATTAACTTAGTAAAGGTGATGTTGAAGTTGAATTGGCAGCAGCTCTTTGGGCTCCAATCTTTTGCGCTGCTCAGAATCTTGAATCAAAATCGCACCAGGCAAACAAATAAATTCTAATGGCGGACATGACAAAACTTGTGAAGGGGCTAGCAGAGTCTGTCATTCCAGGTGGTACTTGGGGGCGTGGCGACCGCCCTGCAACCCAGGGGGCAGGCAGAACAGCAATTGGGCATAGTCACCCCGCAAAGCGCTTTCGGGTGCGGCTCTTCGTGGTCACTTCCACCGCCCGCATTGCGCGGGAGACATGCTGTCCGTACGGTAAATATTTTGCCCCCCAGAATTTGTGATACAAGTGGTCGGTGAGCAACTCGAGCCTGTCAACCCGCAGCCGGAAAGGGATCGATGTGGCACCAGCCTGATCTGCAGCGCAACGGTAGATCAGATCAATGGCTGTTGGTTTAGCTTGGTACTAATCAGGCATCGCGATGAACAACAAACAAAGACGTATGCGCACACAGGCTGGAAGCACCTGTACTTCAAACTGGCGTATGCCCGTCGTCCAGCAATGGCCAATAACGTAGGTGCCCCGGCTGCATGGATTTGCACCCGGCATTCCTTTAAAATCCACAAATCTATATCCTTGTGGGGTGACAGGCGCAAAAGGCGAACCAGCTTTCTACATTGCACAAATTCACTATGAATGCAAAACCTCCTGATTGTCATCACGGTGGACATAAGAAATCACAAGGCACAACAGGCGTTGGCGGCAAACAAGCTTCTTCCTCGATAGGCTTGTCATTATCCAAATGCAACCACCCTCCATTTCTTTGCACCTAGGCCGTGTAGTCGCAACAAAATTAGAGCGCGGCCCGTTATGGACGACCACAGCATGGGCTTGAAGGTGCGGTTTTGAAAGTGGAGGGGCCCGTAACATCAACATAGGATCCGACCTTCACATAGCCTGCCCCATCAAACTGAGTCCGCTTAAGGATGCACACCAGGTCGCTACCCACTGGGCTGGCATTGCATGCCTGCATTACCTCCCCCTTCACTCCGCAGGTTGCGCAGGGCATGGCAGAGTCCTGCAAGTGTTGCGGGGTTGTGAATTTCATAGAGGCAGCATGATCGGCAACCTCTCTCTCTCTCTCTCAAGAACGCATTTCGTGCGAGACCTCCCTCAAAAATAGCAAGCTGAAGTTGTCGAAACAAAGCTTTCGTGCAAGACCTCCCTCAAAAACTGCAACTTCAACTTGTGAAAACGAAGCTTTCGTGCGAGACTTCTTTGCTGTGAGACTTCTTTGCTGTAAGACTTCTGTGCTGTGAAACTCCGTGCCACGGAAGTATAGACTTCTACACTTCCTTTGATAATATTATATATATATATATACGTATGTATATATGTGTGTGTGTGCGTTATCTATATTGATGACTCCTAATGTTTGGGGGATATCTAAGGTTTGGATATTCACAGGTGTCAATCATCAACGGATTAGGTTCAGCGATGGGTATAATGGGGATAACTTATAATATCATACCCACATTACCCACTTCACCTACCAATGGCCAGTTCTATCATGACAGTGGATATTGTGGACATTGGGCTGATCGTGGGTTGATTATTTTATGAGCTGATCAGTTGCTTCCACACGGGATGATTGGTATCAATGGTGATGGGGAAACAGAAAATCGCACTGGAACACAGCTTCAAGTCATCACCATTCACCATGGATGGCCTGCCTCCTTCCACTGTGCTTTTGGGCTGCACCAAATTTGCTTTGGCTGTTTGAGGAGCAGAACCTCTGTGTCCACTTAACCATTTTGAACCAGGACCTGTTGATTTCACTGCACATCTGAAGACAGCACCTTTCAAGAAATACTTGTACTGGCATATATCTGGCCTGTTGCTATTGCAGCCCGCGCATCTGCCGGCATCCTTTGCTCTACAGGTTCTGCTTTGGCTACTTGAGGAGCAGAACCTCAAACCACATGCGTCGCCAAACGCGTTTCAAAACACTTGGCACACCTGCTGTCAGAGATTTGCAAACATCCAAGAGACTCCCTCCTTGGAACATGTTCAATATTGAGGCTCTGGCCCTTTGCTGTTTCAGGCTCCGTTTCCCATGGCATCCTCTGTTTTACAGGTTCTGCTTTGGCTACTTGGGGAGCAGAACCTCAAACCACATGCGTCGCCAAACCCGTTTCAAAACACTTGGCACTCCTGTTGTCAGAGATTTGCAAACATCCAAGAGACTCCCGCCTGGTAACATATTCAAAATTAAGGCTCTGACCCTTTGCTGTTCCAGGCTCCGTTTCCCACGGCATCCTCTGTTTTACAGGTTCTGCTTTGGCTACTTGAGGAGCAGAACCTCAAACCACATGCGTCGCCAAACGCGTTTCAAAACACTTGGCACTCCTGTTGTCAGAGATTTGCAAACATCCAAGAGACTCCCGCCTTGTAACATATTCAAAATTAGGGCTCTGACCCTTTGCTGTTCCAGGCTCCGTTTCCCATGGCATCCTCTGTTTTACAGGTTCTGCTTTGGCTACTTGAGGAGCAGAACCTCAAACCACATGCGTCGCCAAACCCGTTTCAAAACACTTGGCACTCCTGTTGTCAGAGATTTGCAAACATCCAAGAGACTCCCGCCTTGCAACATATTCAAAATTAGGGCTCTGACCCTTTGCTGTTCCAGGCTCCGTTTCCCACGGCACCCTCTGTTTTACAGGTTCTGCTTTGGCTACTTGGGGAGCAGAACCTCAAACCACATGCGTCGCCAAATGCGTTTCAAAACACTTGGCACACCTGCTGTCAGAGATTTGCAGACATCCAAGAGACTCCCTCCTTGGAACATGTTCAATATTGAGGCTCTGGCCCTTTGCTGTTCCAGGCTCCGTTTCCCATGGCATCCTCTGTTTTACAGGTTCTGCTTTGGCTACTTGGGGAGCAGAACCTCAAACCACATGCGTCGCCAAACCCGTTTCAAAACACTTGGCACTCCTGTTGTCAGAGATTTGCAGACATCCAAGAGACTCCCGCCTTGTAACATATTCAAAATTAGGGCTCTGACCCGTTGCTGTTTCAGGCTCCGTTTCCCACGGCATCCTCTGTTTTACAGGTTCTGCTTTGGCTACTTGAGGAGCAGAACCTCAAACCACATGCGTCGCCAAACCCGTTTCAAAACACTTGGCACTCCTGCTGTCAGAGATTTGCAAACATCCAAGAGACTCCTGCCTTGTAACATATTCAAAATTAAGGCTCTGACCCTTTGCTGTTCCAGGCTCCGTTTCCCACGGCATCCTCTGTTTTACAGGTTCTGCTTTGGCTACTTGAGGAGCAGAACCTCAAACCACATTCGTCGCCAAACGCGTTTCAAAACACTTGGCACTCCTGTTGTCAGAGATTTGCAGACATCCAAGAGACTCCCTCCTTGGAACATGTTCAATATTGAGGCTCGGGCCCTTTGCTGTTCCAGGCTCCGTTTCCCACGGCATCCTCTGTTTTGCAGGCTCATCTGTTGCCATCTGAGTAGAAGAGCCTGAATGATTTGGCCAAGGGACTGTCAACCTTTGTTTATTGGACATTGGATTGCTTCTGTGCAAGGATTTCAGGCCCGGACCCTTTGCTGTTCAAGATGTTCGGGATTCCCGTTCAAGTATTTGTTGTGCTACATCTGAGAGATTGTTTATGTTTATTTGCCCAGATAACAACCCAAACTGCTGGAAAGAAAGCCTGGCTGAAAATCCGTGAAGACCCCATGTCCTTGCCATCCTTTTCAAATGCTGCAAGCCAGAGGTATCACCCGTATCATCTATGACCCCGGTATACGAAGAAGCAATTACGACAGGTGCAAACTGGATGGGCGTTGCTTCCGATGATGTGCGCCATTTTGACGAATTTGTTGTCTTCAGATTGCTCCGCTGCGGAACAAGGATTCTTACCGATGAAGCGATTGAAAAGATGAGATCAATACAGCAGCAAGTGCGTTCGTTCATTGCCTCCCTCACAGAATGTTCTATTTAAATTAGGTAAAACCATTTTTGTGCGGGCAAATTACGCTGAAAGTCCTACACACAGGGCCAAGATGAAACTTACGGCCCTTGCGGTACAGAAACCGCTGTTCAAACCATGGACATAGGAACAAAGGGACTGGTGGCATGGCAGGTTCTCTTCGAAAATCTGCCCAGATTTCAAAAAGTTGCCACAATGATGTCATCAAACAAAGCCTTTCTTTGGGCCTTATCAAATCATGCAACGACCACCTCACCAAACAAGGCTTTTGTGTTGCCTGAAACTCGGTGCCCGCCGGCAGCTTTGACCGGACGGCCCCGGAGACGGAGGACCCCATGGGGGACCCCGGCTATGTGGAAAGGATGAGTTCAGTTTGCTGACTTTCCGGCATCGTTGGCTGCTCGAGTTGAGCCAATTCCTGCAGGCTCTGCACAGCTGGCTCCTCAGGCCTCACCAGACCACTCAGAACAGCACTGGGGAATGGTATGGTGAAGGTGAGATCAATGGCAATGTTTGATGCGGCTTGAAATTGTCTCCAACTATTAACACTATTGCATTCCTAGCGATTCGAACCCATCCACTCCAAGTGCCCACCTGCACAACTCGCGTAGTTTTTTCTTTGTTTCTTCATAGGCATCTGTGCCAATCTCCAAACCCTTGGCTGCTATGGCTATGGCTTTTGTCGACTTCCATGGAGGATCGACGACAAACTTGAGGCCCAGGGGTAAGGGACGAAAGCTAGCTTGGTAGGGATCTTCGCATGAAAACACAAAGGGCACAGCGTAGCTGCCCAGATTTTTTCGTCAAAGTGGACGAGCAGGTCTGAAGCTGGGGCATGCTGGTAAGGTCAACATCCAAACCTACGTATTGAGGCAATGTATGTTGGAGGGGACGAGGATGAGAACATATGAGTGTGTACTGTTGCACTAATAGGGTGTTGCACGAATAGGATGAAGAAACTCAGCATAGCCAAAATAATGACAAGTGATTGGGGAAGATTGAAAGGTCCACCTTCAGCATCAGAGTGGACCTTCGGAAGCAGCGCGAGAAGAAGTAACGCAGTGAAAAACGGAAGTTGAGGACGAGAGGTAGGTGTGCGCGCGCAACATGGAAATGAAGCTAGGCCAAGGTTCCATGCAGCGTAAAGTGTGAAAAGGGCAAAGTTGTGAGGGTCTAAAGTGAAGTAAAGTGTGAAAGTGTAAAGTTTGAAGTGTAGAGTGTGGACTGTAAAGTGTAGAGTGTGGAGCGTACAGTGTACAGTGTGAAGTGTAAAGTGTAAGGTGTAAGTTGTGGCGTGGAAAGTGTGCAGTGTAGAGTGCGGGGGGGTGGGGTGTCAAGTGTAGAGTGTGGAGTGCAAAGTATAGAGTATAGTGTAGAGTGTGAAGTGTACCATGTAGAGTGTAGAGTGTCAAGTGTAAGTTCAGGCTGTGGAGTGTGAAGTGTACAGTGTGGAGTGTCAAGTGTCAAGTGCGAAGTGCAAAGTGTAGAGTGTGGAGTGCCAAGTGTAAAGTGTAAAGTGAACAGTAGAATGTAGAGCGTAGAGTTTGGAGTGTAAGTGTAGAGAATGGGGTGCAAAGTGTAAAGAGTAAAGTGTAGAGTGCGGAGTGTCAAGTGTAAAGTGTGAAGTGTAAAATGTAAAGTGTAAAGTATACAGTGTAGACTGTGGAGCGTAAAGTATAAAGTGTAAAGTGTGGAGTGTGGAGTGTCAAGTCTAAAGTGTGGAGTGTGAAGTGTCAAGTGTGAAGTGTAGACTGTGGAGTGCGGAGTGCGTGGTGTAAAGTGCAATGCGCGAAGTGTAAAGTGTGGAGTGTAAAGTGTAGAGTGCACAGTGTCAAGCGCAAAGTGTAGAGTGTAATGTGTAGAGTTTAGAGTGCGGAGTGTAAAGTGTAAAAAGTGAGGTGAAAGGTGTAAAGTGTGAAAGTGTAAAGTGTAAAGTGTAGAGTGTGTGGACTGTAAAGTGTAGAGTGTGGAGCGTACATTATACTGTGCACAGTGTGAAGTGTAAAGTGTCAGGTGTGGAGTGCAAAGTGTAGAGTTTGGAGTATAAAGTGCAGAGTGTGGGATGTACAGTGTAAAGAGTAAAGTGCAGAGTGTAAAGAGTAAAGTGCAGAGTGCGGTGTGTCAAGTGCAAAGTGTGAAGTGTGAAAAGGTAAAGTGCACAGTGTAAAGTATAGAGTGCAGAGTAAGGAGTGCGGAGTGTAAAGTGTAAAGTGTGGAGCGACAAGTGTAAAGTGTGGAGTGTAAAGTGTAGAGTGTGGAGTGTGTGGTGTAACGTATAATGCGTGAAGTGTAAAGTGTAGTGTGTGGAGGTTGAGATGCAGAGCGCGCAGTGTCAAGTGTGAAGTGTAGAGTGTAATGTTTAGAGTGTAGAGTGTGGAGTGTAAAGTGTAAAGCGTGAAGTGTAAAATGTAAAGTGTAAAGTGCAAAGTGGAGTGTGGAGTGTTGAGTGTAAAGTGTGAAAAGAGAAGTGTAAGGTGTAAAGTGTGAATGTAAAGTGCGGCGTGCGGAGTGTAAAGTGTGGAGTGTGGAGTTCAAAGTGTAGAGTGTGTGGAGTGTCAAGAGTAAAATGTAGAGTGTGGGGAGTGTCAAGTGTAGAGTGTGGAGTATAAAGTGTAGAGTGTGGAGTGTCAAGTGGAAAATTAGAGTGTGGAGTGCCAAGTATAAAGTGTGAAGTGTAAAGATGCAGAGGATGCCGATGCTGCCAATGTGATGTCCCCGGGGGGGGTTGAGCCCACAGCCACTCTGCTTGTGAACGGAGGGGAGGGGGGTAGTTAACTGAGAAGTTTCTCGCGATTGGAGATTCCATCCCCCCCAATACCTTGCTAAAGCAAGAGGGACTTCAGCTAGCAGAAGCTAGCTTTCGTGATATGCACTCGGAGAATCTCGTTGCATAGCCTACTCGCAATCTCGCACAGTTTGCAGCTTACGCCTATCCTTTCATATCCGTTCATAGATGTGTTGATTCCTTTGATTCCTTACTGCAGATGTGGCACTCGAAGAATAGCACGGTACTTCTTCAACAACCTTGGGAAACAAGACACTGCTCATCCGACTCACAGCTTTGAGAATTGTGAGGCGTAAATCACAAGT